ACACACACACACACACACACACACACACACATATATATATATATATATATATATATATATATATATATATATATATATATATATATGTGTGTGTGTGTGTGTGTGTGTGTGTGTAACATAAACAAATGCAGAAACGTCAAAGGCAAAGAGGCAAAACTGCACCACAGGACTACATTAATTTTTAATTTTACATTTCTAAATCATATTTTTAAGCTCAACATTTTTAAATTTAATATTTTTAAAATATCTGTTAACTAAGTGCAAGTAAACAGAAAAAAATTGAAAGAAAGCTAGAGAGAGAAAAAGAGAGAGAGAGAGAGAGAGAGAGAGAAGAGTAGTGTGAGAGTAAATTGTGATATTCACCTTCTCAATTGTTTTGCAATCGGCATTTGTTAGGCGTATGTTAGCAACTGGCTTGTTCAGGAACTGTGTCGAGAGCAGCAACGATTTATTGATGTTACTAGTGTTGATGATGTTGTTGATGTTGTTGGTGGTACTGTTGTTGCTTGTTAACAGAGGATTAGTCATGTTGCTGATGTTATTTAAGTTGTTGATGCTGTTGATGTTGTTGTTCAAGTTGATGTTGTTGTTCAGGTTGATGTTGTTGTTCAAGTTGATGTTGTTGTTCAGGTTGATGTTGTTGTTCAGGTTGATAATAGTCTTCATCTGAATGAATGTTAACAATGCAATCAATCGGCATAATGAAATGTGAAACTATTTGAACATGCAATTAAGCGTGTGTCAGTGATCAGACTGCCATGGCATGAACAATATATAATTAAGAATAGTAAGAATAAAATAGGAATGCTGAAACGTTGTGTTACTACTGATGCTGCTGTCAGCTATTTAGATTAATACAGCGTACAACAAACGACATGCATGTAAAATATAATCATAAATATATAAAATGTACAAAAATGTTAAAGTGCGTTATTGGCATTTTTGTGGCCTTTTGCAACAGTTGCTACAAGTAAATTCATCCCAGATAATATGCCGCAACCAAATGTACTGCATAGAAGAGTACCACAACCAAATGTACTGCGTAGAAGAGTACCACAACCGAATGAACTGCGTAGAAGAGTACCACAAAAAATGTAGCGCAAGCAACTGACAGATGATGTTGTTGCGGTAAGAACAGCAACACCGCAGCGCAACATCGAGCAGCAACCTTTCTACATCGATGTAGAAAAAAAAATTTTATATAAAAAAATCTTTGCAAAATTCAAATTCTCACAAAAAAAAATTTACTGACCCTTCCGCGCAGATGGACAAAGTCCAGACGACACTTGCTCGTTTCTAATTGGTTGTTGCGTTTCCACGTGATGTAAACAACTTGACTCAATCCCTCGACTATAATGTCATTTGTGAAAACCTATAGGGTGACATTCAAATGAGCGAGTTTCCAAAAAAAAATGTCTTTCAAAATTTTTGCTCAATGATATGAGAGGAATACAGAGCAGAAGATGTGTGTGTGCGTCAATGTGTGCGTGAGTAAGCGTATATCTCCATGTAAATAAACGTGCTTACGTTCGTGTGTGCACATTTTATAATGACGTCCATCATATTAATCGCCACTTCCTCTCAACGTCAAACCTCGTAGCTTAAATGCAGACAACGATCAAATTAATTTCATCTTTAAGTATTTAAACAAAGAAAAAATAGTTACTACAAATAAACAAAAAAATAAAAATCACTCATCCCTCCACTCTGCATTATTGTTATTGCTACTTGACATGGTTAGTGGCTATTCCTACTCAATACACCAGCTATGAATCACATCACACCACATAAGTTTCAACAGCGTATCAAGTATCAACGTAGAAATTTGTTACAATCGTTATTAAGGATTCACTCAACCATTTTATAAATAACTCTTATTACTCTTATTGCTGATGAAGTCGAACTTTGTTATCATAGCAAGTGTAACAGCGAGAACTTGCTAACAAGAAGTTCCATTAAAGAAATCTGATACCTGTCTTTCATTCTTCATTGCAGAGCAAGCATTCGCATCATATACGTCTACAGCATGTGCATTTACAGGCAAGCACACGATCAAATACACACCCACACAGAACAGACCCAACACACACACAAACACACAACACACACACAGAACTGACACACCACAAACACACACACACAAAATAGACACATATTCACACACATGTACTGTACACACATCTACTAAATACATGCTCACTTAAATTCCTAAACATAATATAACAAAATTTGTGGAACGTAAAAGTCAATTAACCAGACATGAAACAGGAACACACACACACAAATACGCACAGGAACTCACAGACCTAAATAGGCACACATGCAGACATAAACACACATATTTAGCAACATATATACACCTCCGGGCGCATTTTAAACCAAACAACACACAAACATCGCATGGGATAGCCGTAAAAACAAACCATATGGTCGGAGTATTTGCTCTCCGTTCTTATTTTTTTAAACTGTATCGGTCTTGCTGTGGCTGTGCTGATGTTGCCGATGAGGTTGGGAACGCTACTTGCGCTACTGTTGGCCGACGATAGTGAATCAATGCTTGAGTAGAGATTGTCAATCAGTTGACTGCCTGGCGGTTGTTTGACGATGGTCGGCTGCTTGATGAGTGATGACGCGCTTTGCGAATGTTGCTGTTGATTTGTTTGTTGCTGTTGAACTTTTTGTTGTTGCTGATGGTCAACATTTAACAGAAATGGCATCCCTTCAAACTTCAAACTTACACCGGGAGGCTTGTGAAATTTAAAATTTATATTCAATATCGTCACGTTCATTTACAACAATTATCTTCAGTTACGTCATACAAATGAAACAGCTTACCGCTTTCCTCCTAAATTCTTCGTGAACTGAGTTGACGATGACGTCAGACGCCTTTGTCCAATCATAATGCAATGTGGACCAGATTAAAAAATCATTCAACCAATCGGAACTCTCAAGTCCGAGAGTTTGGGAGATCAAATCACGAAATCGTTTCGAAAATTTGAGGAATAAAAGGATGATGACAATGAAGATGATGATGTGCAACCAAGACATTGTAACTTTGCTAATTACAATACTTAAAAAAAGTAAGAGTAAACTTCAATTTCAAATACAAGCTAATTAATCTAATATTCTCTCCTTCCCACACAAAAATATCTTTGGCTTAATTGTTACGCAAATTTGAGTGCTACAAACCCTGATGTCTGTTTCAATGTTTCAAATGATTTCAGAAGACCTTAACAAGCGGACAGCAATCATTTAAAAAACACTTGACCTGTTTGGATATTTTTATTACATTTTTTTAAACAACTGGAAATATTTTACATTTAAATTTAGTTTCAGTACGTTTTTTATAACCGCTGAAATTTAGATTGATTTAAAAATCAGAATAGTTTTGTTGGAAAAATTCTAGTTTAAATTAATTAAAATATTGAATTAATTTCAAGTAAATAATATAAAATAATATTTAAGCAATTCAAAAAACGTTCAAAATTCAAAAAATATTCATTTCAATGACGAATTAATTGCAAGGCTGCGTGAATCAAAGACGAACAAATTACGCGGTTGTCATTTAATTAGTTAACTGTCTACTGTTTAGGATGGCTAAGCGAAAATATTCTGTAATATTTTTTCGAAATGTAGTTTTATAAACAAACAAACATACTAACAAATGAACAAACGAACAAACAAACCAACAAACAAACAAACAAACAAACAAAAGATGACATGCAACGAGAAAAGTACCTGTGAAATAACATCTTCCTGCCTTTATTTCTCTAGTCTCCATCAAAACACGCGCAAACTTCAAAACATCGCTAAATAATTCGTACAGTTTGTTTGTTACAACCACAACACAAGCCACATCATAATAATCTATCTACTATATTTCTAACAACCAAGACATAATTATTTGTATACATGCTATAACAATATCATACTTAAACTCTAGCTCCCCATTCTCACTCATGCATACTAGCTTTTATATACAAATATTTGAACATCTATGTTATATATTTGTATATATTATACGAAATATATAAATAAATGAATAAATAAAAAAATATATATGTGTGTTTGTGTGCGTGTGTTTGTGTGTAAATATTCATATATAATCACGTTTTATGAATATACGCACCGTATATATACATGTTGTTTGGTAATGTTGGAAAGCTCTACCAATGAAAGTTAAAAGGAGAAACATTTGTGATGTTATATCAAAATGTTATAGATTGAAATCTTCATTAGAATACAGTCAGCCATATTGCATTGCAGATAGATGATTGTTGTACACCTACTGCTCGTTTGTACATTCGTGTACTTTACATATTGCACCGGCGTTCGAACTATACAAGGGTTTCTCTTTATAATCATCACTGTCCGTATATTATAGTACATGTATGAGCTTCAGTAGCCCTATATACATGAATGCTATATCTTTACGTGTTAATGCTATGTGAGTTGTATTAGATATGTGTGTACAATGTATATATATATATATATATATATATATATACATACATACATATAAATCATATTCATATATAAAATATATATTTATGGGATGTATGTTTGTGCACGCACGTTATTACAAAGATTAATAAATCTGCATTTCTTCAAATTTTTATGTTAATTTAATGTAGTTGATTTTCAGTTAATGTAAATAGAGTGACAAGAAACATTTTAAAAATCATATGTTATAACGTCGATTGCAAATAGTTTTGTGGTATGAATACTTATAAAAATTATGCTGGAGTCAGTCGATAGATGGATGGATGGATGGATGGATGGATGGATGGATGGATGGATGGATGGATGGATGGATGGATGGATGGATGGATGGATGGATGGATGGATGGATGGATGGATGGATGGATGGATGGATGGATGGATGGATGGATGGATGGATGGATGGATGGATGGATGGATGGATGGATGGATGGATGGATGGATGGATGGATGGATGGATGGATGGATGGATGGATGGATGGATGGATGGATGGATGGATGGATGGATGGATGGATGGATGGATGGATGGATGGATGGATGCAAACTTTTTGCAAACTTTGCATGAAAGAATTAAATGACCTCTGAATTATTGCTTCCTAATACATGGCGTGCAAGCCAAAAAATAATAATTGTTCATCATCGAAGTATTAGAAACAGAAAACACGAGCCGCAATCTTCTACAACTCCGTCGACGGTTCTTACTTTTCCTTGAATGTAAATAAGATTGAAATAAATTGAATCAAACACATCGATTCTTTTCTTTTGTTAATTATTACGTAGCTCTGTTCGGGAGACTGCTTGCATATTATGAGGGTGGCATATTCATCATATTATGTACATTCATTTCGACGCTAGTCATTTGATTGCTAGATGTTACGTTGACTTGTCGGAACGATCCTTTCGCCGATTATTCGAGTCTAGTGGAATGTTGATTCGATGGAGATGTTACGAGTGCATATTAATAAAAACAACCACATGAGAATTTCATTAAAATTAGAAATAGACAATTGTTTTAAGATGAAGAGAAATTAAAAAAAAGATTCATTATTAATAAACTAAGGAAAAAAACTTACGTAATAAATTAATGAGGCCATTATCGGCGCGAGTTTTACCACGAAAATGTAAAGTTAGAATGCGGGTGAACGTTGAAACGATACCAAGCGCGCCAAATTTTATAACAAATTGAATTATTCAAACTGAAAAACCGAATAAATAAAAATTGAAATCATTTGCAAATGAATATGTAAATAAAGTCAAATGTATGTTGTAAAAAGCTATAAATTAATAAATAAACTTATGTTGAATAAAAAACTAAAAATAATTGTATTCTTGTATCTATGAATGCATGTATATATGTATGTCAGTATGTGTTTATGTTTGTATGTGTGTGTATATATGTTTTTATTTATGTATGTATGCATGCGTGTGTGTGTGTGTATGCATGGATGTGCATTAGATATAACGTATATTTAATTTACTCACGTAGGCTTTTGTGTTCTAAAAATAAATTTTGTTTTTCCTTGCCAAATATACCCTTGAATTCTGCAAAAAAAAACAGATTACAAGAAACATTGTTTTTATGCTAATTTGCGAACAGAATTGTTTTTATGCTAATTTTCGAACAGAATTGTTCTTATGCTAATTTGCGAACAGATATTAAATGCAAGTTATTTTGTATTACAGTTGAGGGCACGATGCAATGTAATATTAACCCAATATACAACAAAACAAAACAAACCAATCATTAAAAAAGCATTTTCACAGCAAAACAACTTCATAATACATTTAGCGCAATGCAGATAGGCTGGTTATGATGTTTCCTATCTTATCATTTTTATTCTTCCTTCTCGCTCTTTCTACTCAGCATCTCAGCATAACTTTGTTTTTCTTTTTTTACATCACCAGCTGTTGATAAGTAACAAAAATAAAAATAAGGCGATGAAAATTGTTAAGAAACAAAAATCAAATTATTAATAGCTTATTAACAACAATAACAAAACACTTGTTTATTAAAAGTGTCAAAACAGTTTTGTTTTAAGAATTAAATTGTTACATTGTGTTAATTTTTAGTTTAGTAGTTTCAATTGCAAATATATTTTCCGCCTGATACCTTCAAAATTTTTGAATTGTTCAATTTTTCGCTATTTGTATTAAACTATGAACAAATTTTACTCTTTTCGACAAAAATCAATACCAACACTGCATGGATTGAAACTTTTTTGCTTAATAAACACCTTTGCTTGGAATCATAACGTGCAAGCAAAGTGTATGATAAATAATACAAATGGAACATCAAGTTGGAAATAACACGAATATTATAGTTCTCATGCAATATTTGCTAAAAAGGTATCTTATTCTCTAATTTAACGAATTACAAATATCTTTTTATCTATCAAAAAATTTTTTTTTGCGGGCGGTTGTTTAAAAACGCACTTGAATCCGCATCAGCGGCAAACCGCACAGACAGAATCCGCAAACCGCAAAATCCGTGGAGTTTTTAGAATTTTTTATCCGCAACCGAAGTTTGAAACCGCATTGCGGGCATCCGCTTGGGGTTCTAGAATCCTTAGAATACAATTATTTTACCATTAATTTTAATAGAATAACAATTTTCACACGCACACACCCATGTATATATTCTGTATATATTCACACACAAATACACACACAAACACACACCACACACACACACAAACAGTATTACATATTTAAATATGTATTTGTGTGTGCCTGTTTACGTGTGCGTATGAGTGAGTGTGTATAATTGTATCGACTGACAACAGCATTGTTGAATCGTGGCCGGGATAATAATCATAGATATTTGAAAATTATCTTTTCATCGAAACAATTAACAACCTTTAAAAAGATTTAATTGACAAATTGACTAACCAGAGATAAAGCTTAAACTAAATAATAAAAAATATTTTCAATCAGTAAACATGTCATAATTATTTCACTATTTAATGGAAAAACGATTTTGCAAATTATATATATATATATATATGTGTGTGTGTGTGTGTGTGTGTGTGCGTGTGTGTGTAAACATTTCGTAATTATTTCACACACACGTATGTATATATATATATATATATATATATATATATATCATCATCATCATCATCATCATCATCATGTACGTTAATAGAAGCTCAACCCTAGAGAGCAGAACCGCCCAGTGTTGTTCCAGGGTTTGCTGACAAAAACCCTGCCCTGGATTGGCCTTGTGGCATGATCACTCACATTGCAAACATATTCATACTAGGTTTACCTACCTTTTCTCCAACTCACCCTCACCGCTTTACCACCCAGGCTTGGACTGGCAGGTACGAAGAGAAGAATCATTCTTTCTTTCTGATTGGCATGCTTCTGCCTTCCAACAACAGCATTCATACTACATGGCTTTGTTATTTATTTATTTTTATTTATTTATTTTTGAAGGATGACCAAAAAAGATAAACTTGTAGATAGGCCACCCTTAACTAAAATTTCTAACTATAGATGTAACAGAAATGTCATGAAATACATACACATAAACTCACGCTCACACATACTTACAAACACGCACCATACTACAATTCATATCACAATACTGTTATACAGAACTGAAGAAACAGAATCAATGAAATGAAATGATCTGGAAACCAAACGTACGCTCACTTACACACTCAAATAAATAGACACATAAACAAATATGGTCACACACCATACACATATAGGGCGTGGCCACATGTGGCCACAGGGCGTGGATACATATATATATATATATATATATATATATATATATATATATATATATATATATATATATATACGCACACACAGACACCCTACACACAATATTGTATTAATTCTACCGAGTTATTTACAATATTGTATAAAATATGTTCTCATTCCGACATTCACCAACAAGCAATCAACAATTCGGTAGAATTCATACAATATTGCACATGTTATAATTATATATAATGCTTTAATTATATATTAATTATATATATGAATCTATCTAAATTATAATATTATATATATCCAATCGATGGCTTACACTCAAAATACCTATTTTCCATATATATAGTCTTCTAAATAATGATTTTAATATACCGTTTTGTGGCCAGCGTAGACTACGTTCACTATTTGTACGTAAATAAATGAATATTTTTCTCAAGTTCCAGAGTTAAAAAGTAGTAATGATTTATATTGTTATTATAATTTAGAGTAGCCACTGGTTTGTCTTGAACTTTATCAATTGTTTTAATTAATTTAATAATTTAACATTTTATATTTAAATCATCATTGGTTTGGTTGATTGGTTTGTTTACCTTTACTTTACATTTACACTTACAACATACATTTACCATCCACCCCATCATATTTTAATTTAATTTTATAATAAAATTTTTGAAAGGTAGTATCTTCTCTGCTCCATTCTCAATTCTGACATCTACTAGATACAAGATAGAAAAAGATACTGATCTTGTCACCCTTGCCCTAGACTAGCACTAGAGTAACTGTAACCTGGTGGCTCTTAGTCTTAGACCTCTAGAGTCCAATAAAGCCAAAAAAAATCATTGAGTCCAGACAGTATCTGACCTACTTAATCTGTTATTCTATAAACTAAAATTAAATTGAAATAGAGTAGCCAAAAATCTATTTCGTATGGATTTTGATGAGTTCAGAAAAGTAAAGCCTTGTATAACAGGATTGTTCAATATTAGTCAATTAAGTTAAAAATAAGTCAAATAAGCTTCTTTATTTTACTTTTTAAACTTCACCAGTTTCTACATGTCGGACTTGACACAAACTTCAACTTCACTCTTAACAGAAGCAGCAGCAGAAACATTCCCACAAGCTCAACATTATCCTCTTCTACCACAACAACAAACAACTGCTAATGCTCCTACCTTTGAAGAATTGTTATCAGATTCCACTGCAAACATTCCACCACCCTATTCAGCATTCCCATTACTTCAGCCATTCACATCATCTCAAGGCTTGTCTGCTGCTGCAGATGCATTGATGAGCTCTTCAGCAACATGGAAAGTCATTCCTGGCAAAAAATTGGGACACATGGATTTTGTTCCAAGAATTGTTCAAAAGCGAATGCTGAAGGAAGATTTGTATGACACTCAAACGTTGGTATTTTCTTAATTTTTGACTTGATTTTTCCATTAAAATTAATTAAGGTAGAATTAACAAAAATTACTAGAATACTAGAACAAGAAACAATAAATATGGTTCCAAGATATTAAAGGAGTACAAAAACACTGTTCACATCAATTCATTAAATGTTCCTTGGTCGGATATTTTCTTCAACTTATTTTGTGCCTTATAGAGAAATTATTTTTGTTTTATAGAAGCAGTTTTATATGTAAAATTCCAAGGGACATAAAAATATTTTTATATAGAGAATTTCGTTTTATAGAAGTTCGTTATAAGGGGGTTCGACTGTATTTCTCTGTTATTCTACCTTTGTGAATAATTTGTAATCTTGGAACAAGTTCAGACACATGTTGTTCGGATATATATGCATAAGTGGTAATATACATTCACTGTGAAATTTGCATTGATTATATCAGCAAACAAAATGAGTTGACTACATATCATGATCATCTATCTCCATTGTTGATTTATTTTCTTACATTTGTAATGCAACTAGTTTTTTCGTTTTACTTATTTTCTTG